TGTTTAGATAGGTGGGAGGTCAGTGAAAGAGAAGAAGACCCTCAACAACCTGGACTGACACAGTGACTGTATCGATCAGCTCAAGTATATCAGAGATGATGAGGATGATACAGAATAGGGCAAGATTCGAATCTGTTATTTATCTGCCACAATCAACTCAGTGTCACCTAACAACAACAGTGAGTCATAAAGGAACTCTGGAGAAAAATAGTTACATTATTTACTGCTATCTGGAAGAGAGGCAATTCAAACAGACCCAGTGTTTCCTGGTGATCTACCCTTCCATAAAAAGTGTAGCCAAAGGGGAGCTCTGGTGGCCTAGTAGCAAGAAGCTGCATTGCAATCCCAGAGATATGTGGTTCAAATCCACTAAAAGCTCTGCCGGAGAAGGAGGGGCAATGTCCTCCTGTACCAGTCAGATCTGATTTGACAATACATACACACAAATAATAAAATAAAAATAATTTTTTTTAAAAAAAAGTGTAGCCAATATAACCTTATGGACAATTCTACAAGGTCACATGGGGTAACTATGCATCGTAATTAATAAGACAGAACTTGCCAACAATGATAATGAGTCATGACCTTTTTACTGTAAACAACGTGCCTCCAGAAACTCTATGAACTTTGATAAATGTCGATAGTTTTTTGTTTTGTTTTTAAATTTTATTTTATCAGTTTTAATGAACATTTACAGAGATTTTGGATTTCCATTCATTCATTGTTGCACTTTTCTCCCTCCCCCTCCCCCCCCCCGCAGTTTGCTCCTCTCTTTGAAATGTAAAAGAAAAATTCCCGCCCCGAGAATGCTCCGCTATGAAACCTTAATTCTGATAAATGTTGATAGTTTTAAGAGGGGCTTCAGGCCATTTGTTCATAGGATAGCTATGAGTCGTGCTCAACTCAAAGGCAATCAACAAAAACAACAATCACAGATTATCAGAAGAAGTCAAATCTTCCAACATCATGCCATATCCACTAGAGAACAATGGACAGAATGACAGAAGACTAGTGAAAGTATCAGAGAAGACAATATCATCATCATCTGATCTCCAAAGATACTGATTCTCAAGACAATTAAAATGACAGGTGGGCCTTCACTTTGGATGCTAAAGAGATCCTCAATTTCTAGTTGTAATACTTACTAGCTATACAAATTTGGTCAGACCAGTTTCTCTCAGGCTTATTTTTTTTTCGCCTTCTGTACAGTTCTCTTGTACATAGGGTTTTCCGAGGCCTGCTTTTTCAGAAGTGGATGGTCAATCCTTCTTCCTAGTCTGTCTTAATCTGAATGGAGTTAGGATGATAAAACCTACAAGGTTGTTTAAGGATTATGTGAGCAGATAAGGTAATAAATACATGTAACCCAGGGACTGGGATAGAAAGGACACTCAAAGGACCATTGTTCCCTGCTCCTGTTAAACCTACAAAATCACTCTGCATCCCACCTTTTTAGAGAAATTAAGGAGAAACTGCTCTTGATCTAGACCTTTCCAAGGAGACTCATATTTGAAAGAGATCTGTTAACTACTGTGTTTACAGCCTCCAAGTTAATAAGAAACTGAAACTATAATCAAAAGTGCAATTTTACAATGTTGCAGGGACTTGACATAACTGTAGTGTCTGTTGTGATGCTGCATCAGGACCACTATCAGGACCCAGCAGCTATTTCCCTAAGAATTTGGCAGTTTCTCACTGGCAGCTGAGTCCATCTATCCTCTCCATTAAAGGAGAGATTTCAGTCAAGACCAAATATCCGCTGATCAGTAACACTTTTTTCTTACCTTTAAGTGTGGTTCCCAAGACTCCCTCCTATGATGGTGTAATCCATAGAGTTTTTCTACTAAAAGACTAGAAATCTCTTCCCATGTGATAAACTTGCTGCGTGTCCACTATGAGTCAGTTCTGCCCAGATGGTAATGAGATTTTGAGATTTGTGTGCATATGTGTGTGTATAGGGAGCTCTGTGGCCTAGTGTAAGGAGTTGAGCTGCTAAAACAAAGGCATGCAGTTCGAGTCCATCATCTGCTATTCTGGGAAAAGATGGACACTCTTCTGTGAATTTACAGCATCTTCTAACCTATTGGTGGATCAGCACATAACAACAATCCCTATTTGGGGATAATGTTTTATCTGGTATGTTAATATCAGTGTAGGATGCAGTGCACCTGAACCTAATCACTGCTGAGTTATAAGGAGCAGGATAGAAATGAAGACAAGGAAGCAGATACAGAGTTGATCACTCTGTTGGTGCTGGAGGCAGATACATCTGCAAACAAAAGATCTTCAAGGATTGCTAACTGCTAGAAGCTGAAATAGGGCATTCTGGTGGCTTAGTAGGAAGGAGTTTTACTGTAACCCCAAAGAAACTAGGTTCTGATCCACTCTGTGGAAGCAAGATGGGTAGTCTCCTCCTATGTGATTTACTGCCTCTGAAAGCCAGCCCGAAGGTCCCCAATGAGTCATTCCAACACGTGATACCAAACAAGAAGCAGAAATACAGAAATGGGAAAGAAAGAATCTTCCCTCTAGAGTCACGTTCTGGATTTGGATTTCTAGCCACATGAACTGTGAAAAGAGCTGCTTTCTAGGCAACCTGACCTTAGACGGATGCATAGTCTCATTATCTGAGGAATTGTTCTCTTGGCCAACCATACAGATCTAGTAAATAGCAGAGTGAGGGTTTGAATCCATGTCTTGTTGTCTCTGTCCTTTTTATTGCCACATGGTATAGATTTCCTGAAGTAGTGAGATTAGCTAATCTCAGCCCTGGGAGACAATTCAATACCCATCCCTCAGTCTTTAGAGAGAATAAATATAAGACTTATCCATTTAAACAGTATAATTGTGCTTTTTTAAAAGAAAAATATGTAGTTGGTACTGATGTGTGGTGCCTTGCACAATGACCCGTGTGACATGTTTCTGCTTGAGTTTAGCTCCAAGGGGGAGGGAGGAGGGTATGATTTTGCAGGTGGATTTGCATATCTTCTCTTGCCAGAAATTTGAAATATGAAATCCAACAGACTCCTTTTTTCTCTTTAGCTGCCAAAGACTTTAGGGCCAACTTCAAATATGGCCATTTCCTTATCTCAGAGCCCGATACTACCTACTGCTTTGATTTCACATGGCCTTTTCACATCCTCACTGAAACCTGTACTGTCCATTGTGTTTTACTTAAGAACTCATGCCATAGGATGGACCTGAATATCTGTGTGCATTTGAGAAGATCATCATTGCCTGCTAAGCTTCGCTTTGGGAGGAAATTATTTTTTACATATAGCCTTAGATAATTTGGCAGCCATGTAATAACCGGTGAGACCCCAGGTCCTCCCTTGGCTATTGTCTGTTCGATCACAGCTGGTACCAGACCTCAGAGGACACCAATCATGCATCAGCCAGATATAATGTGAAGGAAGGAGCTCTATGAAACCAGTATACTGCTTGTTTTCTGAGTCCATTATTTCTCTCTTTGGGGAATTGCATACTGGTTGATGGTGGAGTCGAGGCAGACTTAGAGAAGCTGAGTCTCATTGATTGTGAAAAACTATTTAAAATCTTTTACCACTAAGATGTTGAGCTTAGTCATGGATCTAGAAGCTCTCTGTGCCTTTGTAAAAAGCTTGGTCCTATCCAGGCTCTTTTATCTGCTTTATTACTATATGTGTAATGACCATTTACAAGCAGTGAGTAGCCACTCTGAATGGGCTTCTGTCCCTCGTGGAGAAAAGGTGTTATGTTGTTGTCATTATTTGCTGTTGATGTGGAATCAACTGATAGTTGACCTTCCAGAGGACAGTTAATCACACAGGAGGAGATTGCCCATCCTTCCCCTGGGAACAGCTGGTGGATTCGAACTGCAAGCCTATGGGATTGCAGTGAAGTTTTTAAGTACTAGGCCACCAGGAGTCATCTTTTATATATATGAAACACATGTAAATACCATTTTAAACACATAACTATATAGAGATAGAAATAAATATGCATTATTGTATTTATCATGTATGTCTTTGTCCATAGGCCACCAGAATGCCCTGTGTTGAAGACAACAATGCTAAAGTCTTTTCTGTGGCCTCCACCAACTTTTAAGATCAAATTTAAGTCGCCAATTAAAAACTGGTCAATTATAATAAAAACTCTGAATTTCCAGCCCCTTTCAAAGGTAATCTGAACATGTAGCAGTGTTGGATGTTCTGTTTATGTGGCAAGAACTGGCTAGGGCCAGTCACAGCCGCTCCATTCTGATGAAACCTGCAGTGCCGAGTTCACCTCAGTCTCCTCCTTACTTTCTTATTTCCTAAAACTGAGTCATTGTTTGTAATGCAAGGTGCTTCTTTTTTTCCCTAGGGCTGTTAGAGATTTCATTAAATCCCTATCATTCTCTTTCAAAATGGAAAAAAAAAAGCTAATATTAACAGCAAAATAAAAGCTAGAGCAGTATGGAATGATAAATAAATGTTTGCCTTTTGCTCAACCAGTCTTTCTTTCCGTTTATGTCACACACTGGACCTATGAGACCATTAATGTCTTTTGTTCTAGATGACATACCTGGGTAACGGGATTATTAGCTTTTCTTCTTTTAAAATATAATATTTAATCATGCATAAAATAAGCTAAACATCAGCTAAGCACTTTATTTACATTAGTTTACTCCATTGTTACAACAAATATAAGGTGGGTTGGTAATTTTATATTCCAGTGTTGAGTGAATTACCCAAAGCCACAGAGCTACTAAAGGTGAAGGAAGAATAGAAGGAATAGAAAGTCATAAAATTATAGTCTTGACCTTAAGTACTAGGCTGCACTGCTTAAAATCTATTTTTTCCTTTTCTCTTTAGGTTCCTGATACTATGACTGTTTATTTTGTAGTCAAGTGAGAACAAGAGAAATTAGGGGGTTAAATGAACTTGTCTGTGTTGCTGGCCTGCAGTGCTACCCGCAAGACATATCTATACCCTAAAATCGAAGAGAAAGTAGCTGTCTTTCTCTCTTTTCACCTACAGGGAGCAGCTTCGTGGTCAGTGAAGGGAGCTACCTGGACATCTCAGACTGGTTAAACCCGGCCAAGCTGTCCCTGTACTACCAGATCAACGCCACTTCACCATGGGTGAGGGACCTCTGTGGACAGAGGACGACAGATGCCTGCGAGCAGCTCTGTGACCCAGAAACTGGTGAGCTATGGAGTTAGAGGGGAGGAAGAGGAGGAAGGAGTGGACTGCAAGGTGCCTGAGCAGTTGACCAACTGACTTTTCATCCGGGTTACTCAGGCGAAGGTCTAGAAAAATCGATTCGTTACTTTCTGTAAAGAAACAGCAATACTATATGCTACAGGGGTCTCGTGGGGGAGAGGGTGCTTAGGGAACCACAAACTCTTAGAAGGGAGCGCAGAGAGAGACTAATCACGTACGCAAATCAGTGTCTGATTATTTTGGATTCAGATCATATCTGCCTTTTTACTAACTGGATGCTCTTTAGCAAGCGACTTCATTTCTCTAAATACTAGTTTCCTTCTACTGAGACTTAAAACAGTACCAAAGCCCCTAGCCTGATAAGATTACATAAGATAATGTATAAAAGGGTATTAGCATCTTCATTTTTTTTTTTTCATTGAACAGATAGTGATAGAGTACCCGGCACTTTTCTAGGAATTGGGAACAGAGTAATGAGCAAAAGTGACACAAATATACCCTAATTCCATTTTCATTCTAGTGTCGGAGTCACAAATATACTTATAGCATTCAGTACTGTAGCCACTAGTCATGCGTTGTTGTTTGTTGTTATGTGCCATCAAGTTGACGGAGACTCAAAGTGACCCTATGAACCATAGCTCTGAACTCTGCCCTATCCTGAATCTATTTCACTGTCTCTAACACACCTACCCCCATTACCCTAGTTACTGGGTAATAATCCATCTCATCCAGGGTCTTCCTCTCCTGTGCTGACCCTACAGCCTTCCAAGCATGATGTCTTTCTGCAAGAGCCACTCCCTCCTGGCAACATGCCCAACTTGTGTGAAATCAAGCTTCAAAAATCCTTGCATCCAAGGAGCAGCTTGGTTTCACCATCTCTAAGATAGACCTGCTTGTTCTCTTGCCAGTCCATGATATGTTCAGTACTCTTTTCTAGCACCACAACTCAAAGGACACAGATTCTTCTCTTGTCTTTAGTCATTGTCCAGCTCTCTGATGCAAGTAATTGAGAAGAATCAGGCACACCATAGTCTCTGGACTGACATCATGACTCTTCAGCACTCTGGAGTGGTCCTTGACACCAGACTTTTCCATTGCAACTTGTCTTTTGATTTCCTGACTGCCAGAGCCAAGAGTTTTTCATTGTAGATCTGAGCAAGATGAAAGTGTTAACTCTCTCAATCTCTTCTCCTTCTATTATGATGCTACCAGTTGGCTCAGTGGTGAAAATCTTTGTGTTTTCTTCATGATGACCTGCAGTTCATATTGAAAATTGCAGTCCTTGACCTTCTGCAGCAAATGCCTCAGGTCCTCCTCAGTTTTGCCAAGCAAGTTTGTGTCATCTGCAGAAGAGTCTTTTGCCAATCTTGATGTCACATTCCTCCTCATAAGGTCCAGCCTCCAGAATGATCTATTCTGCATGTATTTTAAAAAGGTATGGAGAAAGATCACATCCCTGATGCACTCCTTTCTTGGTTTTGAACCATGCAGTGTTTCCGTGTCCTGTTCTGTCAGGTGCTTCCTGCTCTGAATATGAGTTTCACCTGAGCACAATCAAGTGTTCTGGGATTCCCATTCTCCTCAAGGGAATACTATTGTTGTTGTTGCTGTTATGTGTCGTCGAGTCTCCTGCAACTCATAGCGACCCTATGTATAACAGCCCTAAACCCTGCTCTGTCCTGTGCCAGTCGCACTGTCTGTGACACACTCACCCCGATTACCCCAGTCACTGAATCAATACACCTCATAGATAGTCTTCCCTTCCTGTGCCATCCCTCCACCCTCCCAAGCAGGATGTCCCTCTCCAAGGACCTGTCCCTCCTTACAACATGTCCAAAGTATGTTAGACAGAGCCTTAGAATTCTTGCTTCCAAGGAGCAGCATGGCTTAACCCTCTCCAGGATGAATCTGTTTGTTTTCTTAGCAGTCCATGGTACACTCAACACTCTTCTCCAGCACCACAGCTCAAAGTCATCAATTCTCCTTCTGTCCTCCCTAGTCATTGTCCAACTCTCTGATGCATAACAAATGATTGCAAAGACCATAGCCTGTATCAGACACAACTTAGTCTCCAGAATGACACCATTGCTCTTCAGTACTTTGGAATGAAGAAATGTGTACTTGAGGCCTGTATCCTTTCTCCATACTTGTTCAGTCTCTCTACTGAGTAAATCATTTGAGAATCTGACCTTGATGAGGAAGACTTACCAACAACCTGTGTAATACAGATATCACAAACTTACTTTCTGAAAGTGAGGAGGCCTTGAGTGCTATTTAAGTTACAGTCATTTTGAGATAATTATTAAACCCAAAAAGAAATGGAGAAGGCACATTTAGATCTTTAAATTTTATGAAGAAGCTTAGTTGGAGAGAAAAATCTTTGGTGATTCATCAGTATCTAGATTGTATCCAGTGCTATGAGATGCTTATTTATAATAAATATTAAGTGCATGATATTGCATTTATAATTGTTTTTAAGTAAATGTCTGCTACAAAGCATTCCTCTAAGATCCTATTTTTTAAGTGTGTCTGTAAGTTGAAATTTGTAGGTAGGTCTAAGCAGATCCATAGAGCTCTTACTTTAGAAACTTTGCAGTCTAGTAGGTTAAGTATTAGACTATTAACAAAACAAATTAGTGGCTGGAAACTTCCACCTGTTTAAAGAGAGAAAGATGAGTCAGTCTCCTCTAACTAAGATTCATATAAGTATAAATTTACTTCACTGCTGATGTTTGTTGTTTTTAGTTTAGTATAATAAATTAGCCCTGGTGATTAAGTGTTGAACTGTAGTTCAGACTTATTGACTGTTTTGTGGGACAAAGATGTTGCATTCTGATTCTTTAAAGACTTACACCTCTAAAAATTTTGTTCTCAATGGTATTGGCAAAATTGGAAAACCATGTGCAGAATACTTAAGCAAGAGCCATACCTCACACCTTATACAAAAACCAACTCATGGTGGATCAAGGGCCTAAAAGCAAAACCAAAGACTGTAAAATTAATTAGAGAAAATCTAGGAAGAACTGCAGAAGCCCTTACCCACAGAATAAACAGTCTTGCAAGCTTCATGAAAACCCTACAACCAGAAGATAATAAAATAGACAAATGGGACCTTCTAAGAGTCAAATCTCTATGCACATCAAATAACTTTTCCAACAGTGTAAAAAGAAATATCATAGACTAGGGAAAAATATTTGGCAATGACATATCCAGTACCTCAACAAGAAAAAAAGTATCCAGTTTATTGACAACATGGGAACAGAGGGTGAACAGACACTTCACTAAAGAGGACATTCAGATAGCAAACAACACATGAAGAAATGTTCCAAATCCTTATCTATTAGAGAGCTGCAAATCAAAAGAACTATGAGATATCATCTCACTCCAGCAACAACAGCATAATTCAACAGGACAGCAAACAACAAATGCTGGTGGGGTTGTGGAGAGATTGGAACTCTTTTTTTTTTTTTTTTTTTTTGGAACTCTTATTTACTGCAGATGGAAATGTAAGACGGTACAACCACTATGAAAGGCAATCTAGTGCCGTCTCAAAAAGTTGAAAATGTAACACAATTACAAAATGGGCAAAAGACATGAAAAGAATTTTCACAGAGGAAGATATTTGGATGGTCAACAGGCACGTGAGGAAATGATCCAAATAACTGGCAATAAGAGAGATGAAAAACAAAAGCACAAGGAGATACCATCTCACTCCAGTAGCAGTGACAAAGTTTAACAGGGCAGCAATAATAAATGTTGGGGAGGATGTGGCTAGATAGGAACTCTTATACACTGCTGGTGTGATTGTGAAATAGTACAACCACTCTGGAATTCAGTTTGGCGTTTCCTCAGAAAGGTGAACACTGAAATCCATATGACCCAGATAGTCCACTGCTTGAAAGAGACCCCAAGAGAATGAGAGCTGAGGCACAAACCTCAAGTGAGACCTGTACACCAATGTTCATAGCAATGTTATTCACCATCACAAGAACATAGAAACAACCCAAATGCCTAAGCACAATAGAATGCATTGAGAAACTGTTGTACATTCACACATTAGAATGCTACACAGCACGCAGGAGCAATGATTTTATACATTACTACCTAACTTGGAAAAGACTGGAGAGCATTATGCTGAGTGAACTAACCTAGTTCCATATGGACAAATACTGTATAAGACCATTATTGTAGAATGAGAATGATGATCTAAGGTGGGGCAAGGGGTGAGTAGAGGGGTGAGGGTGGCTGGGAGGGTAGGCGTTGGTTAATTATAGGGTTACACAATTTGTTGGGTGGAGTGGGTGGTGAAGAAAATGGGAAAGATCCAGTGTGATAAACAATGTATATGAACATTGCAAATAAGCCAGTATAATATAATAATAAAGAAGCTGGAAATTAAAATACCCACTTGATCCCATTAACAAATGAATAGATTAAAAAACTATGATATTTATTCATACAATGGAATATTAAGCAGCACTGAAAAACAAGGAACTCAAAGTATTACACAGCATGGGTGAGCTGGAAGACATTATGCTGAGTGAAATTTCTTAGTCACAAAGATAAATACTGCTTATCAACACTGTTATAAAACAGGACAGACATGGAGCTTGGAGGGAAACTAAGAAAAGAGGGGATAAATAATGAATATTACATTGGAACAGATGAAGAAAGAACAGTTTAATAAGAATATATAATTAGGCATTATATGTATGACAACAGCCCAGAATAAGAGGTGCATTGCAAAGAGGACTGAGGGGCAGGGGGAAGGAGGTAATTGTGCAACAATCAATCAGTATTTTTTTTAAGTGAAGTGGAGGGGAGGGAAGAGAAGGAGAGGGAGTTAAATGTGCAACGATGAATAATTGAAAATCTCATTTTTCTGTAAATGTTCCTTTAAAAAAACACACTATTAATTAAAACTATTAATTAAAAAAAATACCATTTGATCCAGCAACTCCACTGCAGGGAATGTACCCTAA